CTGTACTCCTGGAACTGTGAGCAGGTGGAGAGGAGCCCAGGGTGGCCCTGAGGTCTGGGGTACCCTCTCAGGTGACTCTAGCAGCTCAGCCCCTCAGCTTCTGCACAGGCTCCTCCCCAGGGCATTGGAGGCAATTAGTCTACTCTGATTCTTTCCTTAACCAGCAGCTTAGGGACTTTCTATGTGTCCTCTCTGAGGCTTATAACATGGTTTCCTCCCGCCTGTGGCTCAGGCGCTCAAGGACAGTCATAGAAAGCTCAGGAGGTCACGGGCTCAGAGAGGGCTCTTCTTACTTTTTAGTTCATGGGGCTCTCAACAGAAGCTCAAGGCTCAGAAAACTTCTCGGGTTAGAAGGTGCCTGAGCTCCCTGAGTGGCACAGGTCAGCGTGAGCTGGGAATTCTAGGTGGGCAAGACCTGTCTCTGCATCTGGAGGTCTGCGTACGTGCTCCACGGGGGTCTGTGTGGCGTTTCTTTGCTCCTATAATGTGGATATATGTATGTTTTCTTCATGGGTTTTGTCTCTGTGTGTGTGTGTGTGTGTGAGTGTATTTGTTCTGTTTCATTTGCAGCTAGTGTTTACAGGGTAGTTCCTGTGAGTGAATAGGGCCCAAGTGCCTCACTCACCGACCACCTGTACCTACGCTGGGTGTAGGTCAGTGGAGGCTGGAACATCTCATTTTGCAATGAGGCCGGTATGGGTGTGACCATGTGTGTCGTGTGTCGCCTGAGTATGAAGAGGTGTGTCTGCACAATGGTGTGTTTCCTGTATGATTTGTGTGTGATGTGTGTGACCTTGTGGCTTTTGGTTGTTCCGTATGTGTGTTTGCATGTGTGAGTCTTTGTTCCGAGTCTAACGTTTATGCGTCACATGTGTGATTTTTATGCATTGCTGGCAGTTTTATGCTTGTGTTGCGATTATACAAGTGTTTGTGCGTAGTTATGTGGATTATTTTGTGTGTATCAGCTTGTGTATTATTTGTGAGTTTATCTTTATGAATCTTCGGGGAACTGAGCCATAAGCCATAGTTACTGTCTTAGAGATCACAGATAGTAAGAATTCAAAAATCAGTAATTTAAGTGTGCTTGTGAATGTGTGTTTCAGGTACAGGTTTTAGGGGCTTCAGGGCCTACCTGTGAACCCAGATATTCCCTTAACTGTCTTTCTCTACAGGGGCCACATCACTGCATTGGGCAGGCAGGTTCACATACATTTCCACCAGCCATTTACTCGTGGATGTGAGCTCCAGGTCTGCACTCTGTCAGACTGGGGTCCAGTCCCCAGTCTGATCCTCAAATGTTTCTGTGATCTTAGGAAGTGACTTCAGTTCTCTGAGGTTCAGATTCCTCACTGGTACAGGAGAAATAACTATTCCTACTTCACAGTCCTATTTGGAGGATTAAATAAGGCAACACATACAAAGTATTCAGCACATAATTGGTGCTGAGTAAAAGGAATGTATTTTGTTACCTTGCTCCAGACCCCATGTTTGTGTCTTGGGGGTTCCT